CAATGAAGACATCATTGCTGCTGTGGCCGCCAAAAGCAAAGAACTTCGTAGGCATCTACTCTCTTGAGTACATGTATACTCTGGGCTGAGTTCTTGTGCTAATATTGATTTGGTTGTACGACATGTATGTTGTATATCACAAAGTTGCTTATTTATCACACACACACACACACACACACACACACACACACACACACACACACACACAGCACGCACATACACAAACACACACACACAAACATTCCTACCTACCTACCTAACCACCTACACACGAACATACATACGTATACACATACACACATACGTAGGCTACATACGTACATATACATTATATAGGGCCTACATGTACATACATAGGCCTACATATATGACATACATACATAACGAACACTCACACGCACACACACATATGCACACATTCAAACACACACAATTTTCATCTGCTTCTGTGCTCTAACTAGTAACATAATGATAGTATGCAGGCTTAGAAACATGTTGGCTTTGCGTGTTTTACTAGGCCTTAGTGGGCCGGTACGGGTGGCAAATGCCCGGGCCGGTTTTAAGACCCAGTCCGCCCGTTTGGTGATTTTTTTTAAACGTAAATTTCATAGTCCTGTTTCTAGATCTATACAGCATGAACAGTGGAACGATATTATGATCTCAGTCTCAGATTTAAAACAGTTTTCAATGATGACTGAAGGAGAAGATCTATCTTGAAAGAAACAAAAGCTTCATGCATCTGTGGCACAACATATAACACTCGGAATGTTTTATGCTACTATTGACATATATGGTAACCCATTTTCAGAGATAAAATAAAACAACAGCACCTGACGTTCACTCACCCCCATCTCCCAAATCTCTCTCTCTCTCTCTCTCTTTTCTCTCTCCTTCACTCACTCGCTCACTCACTCAATTTCTTTCTTTCTCTGTATCCAAAAAAGATTAGATCTATAAATTTATTTTTTTTCCGACACCGTGACTGGGCAATCATCACCACACGCTTCAGCTATCTTGTTAAGACAAGTGACTACCCACAATTACACTACACTGCAGTCTCATTTTGTTAGTCTTGCCAAGAGCCTGTCATCATGTCACCTAGTTGAATTTTAATTTACAATACATTGTTTATATATTTAATACATTCGTCGATTGGCCCCGTCAATTTGAATAGGCATGAGGTTCGGATGTGTGAGGTGATGTCCCTGTGCTGAGGGTGCCATGCGTAGCTTTGCAGTACATGTATATATATATAATTTATGTATATCGTGAGTCACTTGAGTCAGTGTCAGAAACAAAGGTGTCAGTGTCAGCAAATCACCGGCCCGCCTCTCCCACTCAGATAGAGTCCCTATACTACTACTTACTTAACTACTGTTACCCTAAGGGCACTCGCTTCACGAGTTAAAACCTTAAAGCCGCCTCAAAAGAACCAAAGATAAGCCAGATGGCGAGATCTACATACATTACGTGGGTCTGTGTTTGTTCAGTTTAAAGTGACTTGAGCAATCGTGACTAAATTAGCTCTTTACAGCCAGGGTTTGAATTTTCCGACATTGTTCTATTTCTATCCGAAGTACAGAGTTCTTGTAAGGGGGGGGGGGCTCTCGTGGTCTAGAGGTTAAGGTATTCGCCTTTCATTCAATAGATCCAGGGATCAAATCCGGATGGCGACAGGTGTTCGCCTTTCACTTTCACTCACTCAATAGGTCCAGGGTTATAATCCGGATGGCGACGGTAATTTTTCTCCTTTCACACCCTTTCCTGCTCTAACATTTTAATAATGTTCTGTCGTTTTCTTTCGTCTCCACTTTCTGCCCCTATACCCCCTTCCTCTGGGCTCCTTCCTCTTTCTGCAGCCTTTCTACATATGGCCTAAATAAGCCAAATCCCCCTCCCTTACCTTATTTAATTTGACCACATATGGCCTATAAGCTAGCCCCCTCGCCTGAACTTATTTAGGCCACATATAAAAATAAACCCCTCTTCACATCCATCTTCCACTGATTGATTGATTGATTGAGTAGGTGTTTTACGGCACTATCGGCTCAATTTTGGTCATGTAAGTGCCAACAAGTTTTATTTTAAACAAATCTATCATCATGTTTTCGTAAGAGTTTTGCGGCGCTCCCAACTGCATCCAGTCATATCATCATTTAAAAGGCCGGACAGACATTTATAAAGATCTTTGTAAATAATATGGTAAAGACTCTTATTTACATGGGTATTTTCAATATTAATTTCAGTGTATGCATAGTATACAGCGACAACCACAACACAACTATACATTTTTATACACTATGATTATCTCTTGACAATCCTATTTCTTTTATAAAACTAAAACTCAAAATTTTTCTCGAACAAACGATGTCAAAATCAAAAAGAGTTTTGATATCTTTACATCTGAAGTATTTTATGCGTATATTATCAAAGTAAACACATTCCGTTAGAATGTGTCAAACTAAAATATGTGTTGCACGCCACGCAAAAAGGAGCTTCCTCTCCTTCGAGTAAATGTTTGTGCGTGGCGTGCGTGTGTCCTATTTATAATCTTGTGTAAACAACATTCTCTCTTTGTAGGAGAGACACAAGTTTCCTGGGCGTAAGTTTTGGTTGAATGTAATGGAGTTTGTTGAGTATTTGTTGGTTCCAAATTTGGGACCAAGAAGATGTGTTCTTTTACTTTTGGTTTCATGTCAGAGAATGGGATTTTACTATTTTTGTTTTCAGGTAGTTTTAGAGATTCTTTGGCAAGGCAAAGTGGTCAACGGCTTCATTGCCACCAATGCCTACGCCAAGCTATTGGAACAGTTTTTCCAGACTGATGTAAAAAGTGCAGTTTGATTTTAAGCTTTAATTTTAAAATTCTGTTGTCGGAGGAGTCAGAGCGTTCTAAAGATTTCAGACAAGAGAGAAAGAGCATCTGAAAGGATTAGGAAAGTAGACTTGGTAGGTTTATGTATAATATTTAGGGTCGTTTCAAGAGCTGTAGCCTCAGCAGTGTAGTGTAGACTGAGGCGTCTGAGTGGAGTTTCCTTAAGCTTAAGCCTAAGCTATGTGGCTGAGCAAGGGCAGCAGTTCCTGCTGAAGTGCTATTTTTGGATCCGTCTGTAAAAAGTTTCTCTGCTTCAGGGTATCTGTTTATTAGCTGTTTGTATGATTTTAGGTTATATTAGTTTTGTCTGCAGACTTTTTATTGTGTTTTTCAAGACTTGTATCTATATGTTTGGTTTTGTTAAATGCCATGTAGGTATGTTTGACATGACAAAGGGTTCGATTATATGCCTTTAGAAAAATCGGTGTCTTAGAGATCGTTTTAGATTCTTATTCCGAAAGGGCTTACTTTATTTCTTAAGGAGGATAGGTTTTTAGATCTTCGGGAGAGCCAAAGACACATTTGTCAGCTGGGTTTCGGGGTACTGAGCTAAGTTTCAAAGCGCACTGCAAAGAGAGTTTTTTTCCTTCTAGGTTCTAAAGATGGTTCGTGAGCTTCTGCCTGCAAACTTTCTACAGGTGAAGTACATGTACAGAAAGCCCCAAGGGCAAGGCGAAGGCCTTGGTTCTGAACGGGGTCTAAAATTCTAAGGTAGGACTTCCTAGCTGATCTGTAAACAGGACTGGCATAGTCCAGCTTGGAACAGATCAGGGAGCAGTAGAGTTGAAGAAGTATTTCAATATCACCTCCCCATTCGGGATTGGATAATATTTTTAAGGCGTTGTGAGAGCACTCTTCTAAAACTTCGTCTTTAGGACTTTCAAGTGTGGTAGGAAAGAAAGTTTGTTGTCGAAGATTACACTCAGGAAACACCCTTGTTTTTCAACAGGATTTGTGTAGACCATTTATAAACAGGACATAAATTCTAACGAATGGCTGCCATAGTTTTGAGCTCTGGGTGCTGTCATAACCTTGGATCATTTTTGTGCTCTATATACCATTTTGTTATATTCCCTCACTTTGAGATACTCACTTTTAAACCGACTAAAAAGTATTTCGTCTATTTTCGTCTTGCCATTCCGTGAAAAATCACCCATCATATGTCTTAGGTGTTATATTCTTCATCGAAAAATAGAAATAAGTGCATTAACAGTAAAATAGCCAGGCAAAAAGTCAGAAAGCATTTTTGAGTCAGACAAAAAAATAGAAGGACAAAAATTACAC